AAGGAAAAGCAAAGCTCTCAGGAACATATAAAATAACCAATTCAGTGAGATGGGTCGGTCTGACAGATCAGGGAAGGTTTGAAGGGGAGCTAAGACGAATCTTAATACATGAATAAAACAGGTGGAGCCTGGGCGTGTTGGCTCACGCCTGTAATCCCAGCACTTTGGGAGGCCAAGGTGGGCAGATCACGAGGTCAGGAGATGGAGACCAGCCTGACAAACATGGCAAAACCCCGTCTCTACTAAAAAACAAACATTAGCCAGGCGTGGTGGCATGCGCCTATAATCTCATCTACTTGGGAGGCTGAGGCAAGAGAATCTCTTGAATCTGGGAGGTGGAGATTGCAGTGAGCTGAGATGTGCCACTGCACTCCAGCCTCAGTGACAGAGCAAGACTCTATCTCAAAAAAAAAAAAAAAAAAAAAAAAAAAAAAAAAAAATAGGTGAAGGGTGGAAAAGGGTGGAAGAAAAGCACTTAAGAAGGAACCAGCATAAACATAAGCACAGAAGCAAGAAAATGCACAGCATTGAGGGACTAGCCAATTGTCTGCTGTGGCTAAAAGACAGGGTATGAGGATGATACAGTAGAAATATGGAGCCAGAACTATGGACATGACTGCTTTTCTAAGGAGTTTGAACTTGAGTTTACATATAAGTTTATGTGTAAAGAATGAATGAGGCCGGGCGCGGTGGCTCAAGCCTGTAATCCCAGCACTTTGGGAGGCCGAGGCGGGTGGATCACGAGGTCAAGAGATCGAGACCATCCTGGTCAACATGGTGAAACCCCGTCTCTACTAAAAATACAAAAAATTAGCTGGGCATGGTGGCGCATGCCTGTAATCCCAGCGACTCAGGAGGCTGAGGCAGGAGAATTGCCTGAACCCAGGAGGCGGAGGTTGCAGTGAGCCGAGATCGCGCCATTGCACTCCAGCCTGGGTAACAAGAGCAAAACTGCATCTCAAAAAAAAAAAAGAATGAATGAAAAAATGAAGATAATGATTCTAGTTAGGAGGCTCTTCCAACAGACCACATATGGAAATAAAGCATGATGAACCTCAGAAACATCATGTCAAATGAAAAAAACCAGATGCAGAAGATTACTTATTGTATGATTCCATTTCTATGAAATGTCTGGAAATGGGAAACCTATAAAGACAGAAAGTAGATTAGTGGTTATCTGGGGCTGGGGGTGTTAATGGGGTAGACACTGTAAACGAGCAGAAGAGGTCTTTCAGCAATGGAAATATTCTAAAATTGGACTGTGGTGATGGTTATACAACTATGTAATTTACTAAAGCCACTGAATTGTACCTATTTTTTTTTTTTTTTTTTTTTTAGATAGAGCATCACCCTGTCTCCCAGGCTAGAGTGTAGTGGCGTGATCTCAACTCACTGCAAACTCCACCTCCTGAGTTCAAGCCATTCTCCTACCTCAGACTTCTGAATAGCTGAGAATACAGGCGCACTCCACTATCCAGCTAATTTTTATATTTTTAGTAGAGACGGGGTTTCGCCATGTTGGCCAGGCTGGTCTTGAACTCCTGGCCTCAGGTAATCAGCCCACTTCGGCCTCCCAAAGTGCAAGATTACAGGCCACACGCGTGAGCCACCATGCCTGGCCTTTTTAAAATGTAATTTAATTTAACTTAATTTTTTTGAGACAGAGTCCTGCTCTGCCACCCAGGCTGGAGTACACTGGTGCAATCTCAGCTCACTGCAACCTCTGCCTCCCGGGTTCAAGTGATTCTCTTGCCTCAACCTCCTAAATAGCTGGGATTACAGGGAGGCACCACCACTCCTGGCTAATTTTTGTATTTTTAGTAGAGATGGGATTTCACCATGTTGGCCTGGCTGGTCTCGAACTCCTGACCTCAGGTGATCCACCTGCCTTGGCCTCCCAAAGTGCTGGGATTACAGGGGTTAGCCACTGTATCAGGCCTGTACCTTTATAAGTAAACAAATAGGGGGAAAAGTGAAAGCCTGTACTTGGACAGGGACTTGTGAATGGAAATGGGTAAAAAGAATGACTAAAGGAGATGAAAGTTGACAGGAACACTGAGAGATATATAGAAATGAAATAAAGTTAAAATGATTCAGGATTCAGGTTTCTAGTCTGAAGGTCAGGGATGACAGTGGTGCCATTAAATGGAGAGAGAGAATACAGGAAGTTCAGAGTTTAGGCATTTAGGTGGAGAGAATTGGTTAAGGTTAGGCAAGTATAATTTGGACGTGTGTGCTAGATATTCACTTGACAATGTCCAATAGGAAGTTGAAATCCCACTGACAGGTTGCTGGTTTCCCATTTCCTTTACCGCCTTCACTCAGTGCAGCAATGTGAGTAATGTGAAACCACAGGAATGGATGAGTACCAAGAATGAACAGAACAGCTTGATACACGTTGAATGTTTTTAGAATGATACATACTGCTGCATGGACAAAGGATCGGCTTAGGACATACTTCAACCTACTCTACATAAAAGTGCACTCTAGATTTCACAATAGAAGATTTGAAGAGAAAACAATGGGCTCACTTAATGAGATCTTTTGTTATACAACAGGTTGTAAATTAATCTACATCAAACTGCAAAGCTAGAATATAACCTGGAAGTGACAGCTACAAATTTAATGAATATTCCAAACTCAATTCTGGCAAAGGCCAAATGAGTAAAAAGAATCCAGAAGATACATCAAACGAATAGGTAATACTAACACAAAAATTTCATAATGCCAGGTGCGGTGGCTCATGCCTGTAATCCCAGCACTTTGGGAGGCCAAGACTGGAGGATCATTTGAGGTCAGGAGTCTGAGACCAGCCTGGCCAACATGGTGAAACCTCCATCTCTACTAAAAACACAAAAAAGTAGCCAGGTGTGATGGGGCATGCCTGTAATCCCAGCTACTCAGGAGAATCGTTTGAACCCTGGAGGCGGAGGTTGCAGTGAGCTCAGATTGCGCCACTGCATTCCAGCCTGGGCGACAAGGGCAAAACTCTGCCTCAAAAAAAAAAAAAAAAAAAAAAAAAAAAAAATTAAGAACAGGGCCAGGCGTAGTGGTTCAAGCCTGTAATCCCAGCACTCTGAGAGGCCGAGGTAGACGGAGGTGGCTCCTGAGGTCAGGAGCTCGAGACTAGCCTGGCCAACAGGACGAAAACAACATGGTGAAACCACATCTCTACTAAAAAAATACAAAAATCAGCCGGGCGTGGTGGAGCGCGCCTGTAATACCAACTACTTGGGAGGCTGAGACAGGAGAATCGCTTGAACCCAGGAGGCAGAGGTTCCAGGAAGCCGAGATGGTGCCACTGCACTCTAGCCTGGGCGACAGAGCAACACTCCGTCTTAAAAAAGAACTATTAAAGACTTATCAGAAAACAGCGCATCTTCCTCCTGGTTAAGAGTTAAACTTAAAAAGGCATCAGTGCCTACAAACTAATCACTTTTCTATGGTAGAAAAATTTCGGCAATTCTGCACGTCAAGGCAAACAAACAAGGTAAACAAAACCACGAATTACTAAAAACCTTTTGGATTTGGAAACCTGACTCAAGTCTGGGTGAGACTACGAATCAGGGCTTCGACTTTACGTTCATGTTGAACTAAGGCCGATGTAATCACCTCGGTCAAGTCCCTTTGCCTTTGGCCTCAGTTTCCTCATTTGCTAACGCTGAGCAGGGAGAAGGGGGTCAAACTTTGCTGTTCTCACTGGGCATCCAAGATATGGAGGGAAGGGCGGAGCAGAGGCAAGACACCCGACCCGACCGCTGATGTTGTCCCCAGAAGAAGTCAGCTCGCAGGGCTCTGCAGGCTTCAGCAAGTTGGGCCACCCAGACTCCCCGATCCAGCAGCCCCGGGGCCCGCCCACGACGAGAGGGCAGGAAGAAGAGCCGAAGGGCGTGACCCCTTCCTTTGCTCCTCCTTGACTTCCTACCTTTACTGCATACAATTTGCCGCCTTTCTGACCCAGATACACTTTCCCGAAGGCGCCCCGGCTAATGGGCTTCACTATTTTGAATTCCTCAATGGAGGGCGGTCTTGGCACCGGGATCCTCCTATTCATGCCCTCCTCGGTAGCCGCGCCTCCTCCAGTATCCTTCTCGCTCCCTGCGGTGGGCTCCATCGCTGGACAGCCTACAGCGAACCCGCAGCCGCCGCCTCTCTACCAGCAGCCACTCCCGCCAACTGGGTTCAAAGTGAGGCTCCGCCGACGCCGCGCGGCCGTGACGTCACCGCGCCGCTGCGTCCCGCCCTCCTCACCTCCCCTCAGCAGATGCGGCAGGGCTCGGACGCCGGGAAAGCCCCGACTCCACGGTGGTAGAGTCTTCGTGGGCAGTGACCGCGGCCCCACTGACATCATTCGTCATCAGGGAGGAGGCACAAACAGTTCTGGACCAGAAACGAGACGACTGGGACTGGACTCTAAATCGCAGGCTTTGAAGAGATTTCTCCCGGCCTCCTAGCGAGTCTCGTGGGAAGCGGTCCTTCTCCCCGACACGACCTCCCACCCACTAGAGGCGTAGAAACCAGTTCGGACTCTAGTATAGCGACGGCCAGGGATGAGGTGTGGAAGCTACTGAAGGCACAGAATGTGGAGAAACTGGATGGGCAGGAAGCGGGTGGCCGCTCCTGTCATCAGACGTTTTCCCAGGATGTAATTTCCTTGACTTAAACAGATGAGAACCAACAGGGAGAATTTTCGATTTAGTGTGAGGGAAAGAGCACTAAATTGTAGCAAAAGACCTTATTGCTCAAGACCTAGTCAGAAGATTTCATATGGAAACTAGAAAATCTGAAGGAAATTAACCGGGCGTGGTGGCGGGCGCCTGTAGTCCCAGCTACTTGGGAGGTTGAGGCAGAAGAATTGCTTGAACCCGGGAGGCGGAGGTTGCAGTGAGCCGAGTTCGCGCCACTGCACTCCAGCCTGGCGACAAAGCCACACTCTGTCTAAAAAAAACAAACAAAAACAGCCAAAGACCTTTGAGGACTTGTAAATATGTTTACAAGTAATGTTCCTTGTAAATTTCAACTACATTGGGGCTGCCAAGAACGCATAAGCACTCGGTGGGTAGGGAGCCCGCTTGCCCCGGAAGTACTGTTGCGTTAGCGCCTCGTCTTCCGGGGCGGATTGTCTGTCGTTGCAGTAGCTGTAGGAAGGGGAGGCCATTTTCCGTTTCTGGGAGGAGTGAGGGGCAACGAGGGGGAGAAAAAGCAAAAAAGAAGGGCTCAGCGCCTCCCCGCCAGGCCAGGAACAGAGGGACAGTTTCGGCAGGCGGGTGAGGTCGCTGAGGGCCCGTAGGAGATGTTTTCCTTGTCGAGCACGGTTCAACCCCAGGTGAGCCCGGCTTTCAGTCCTTTTTTTTTTCCTTCCGACCTGCCTGCGGCTGTTTGCATATTGCGTTTGTGGCAGCGATTTCTCTAAAGGGATTCTAGGAAGGAAGCAATTAACTCATCGCTAGTCGCATGATTGTGGAGTGGATCAGCAGACAACGCTGAGAGTGGGCCGGAGACTTGATGGCTGAGGATGAAGCTTTTTGGGGCAGAGGCGGGATGTGAGCGTGATGGAGAGAGAGAGAGACCCGGGCTTATCGAACTGATTGAGTGGAATTTTTGCTAGAGAATCCGTCCGGCTTTGTTCAGTGTCCGGCGTTCGGGGGTGGGGACGGGGGAAATGTCTCCACCGTAGGTGTAAAGGGAGCGGCTAATGTTCCCTTTTCGTCTGACTTTCCACTGGCTTTAGTGTTCACAACCCTGATCCCTGCTCTTTCTTTCCTTTTAGATGGAATTTAAATTTGACCCAAACATGGTATAATAATTTGAATGGCAAGTCATGCATTTTTTTGCTCTTTTTACAGAAATAACTAATGTATATATTTCCGAGCCTCATCCTTATTGTTTTGTAAAACAAAAGGTAGTGAAGAGAAAAATGATTTCAAGGGTTTTCATTACACCTTTTGTGAGTAATCACTTGTGACAATGTTTTATTCTTGCTTCATTCCAGTCTCTTTTTTTGATGGTAACATTGTGATAGTTTTTTTTTAATTAATTTTTTTTTTTTTTTTTTTTTTTTTTGTGGGGGTTTTTTTTTTTTTTTTTTTTTGAGAGTTCTTATAGTTTTGCCAAGAAGTAGTTTTTACTTTGAGATTTGTTTAAAAATTATTTTTAAGAAAATGAATGCTCTTGGTTTAGACATATGATTGTGTTTCTTTGTGTAACTTTTACTCCCCCTCATTTTAAGAATTTTTAATTTTTTGGTGCTAGTACTGGCTAACAAATTGAAGCGGTTGCTTGTTTATTGGGCATCAGTTATATACCAGGTGAGCAAAGCAAATGTGGAATCATCTGTTAATATTGATAGGAAGTAAATATGAGTAGGACTTAGCCAGGCGAAGAGTGAACAGATATCGCAGGCATAAGACTAGTGTGACTATTTAGACAAAAGAGGTTAGAGAAAAGACTTGAGGCATATCATACAGGGAGTTAAGGATATGTTATGGCTGGGAACCATTGAAAGTTTTAAAACATTAGATTTTCATTTTTAAAAGACTCTGGCTTTTTGCTGTATGGAGAATAGGAGAGGGCAAGAATGGAAGTGTTATTGGTTGAGCATACCCCCCTATTAAGGCAGTTGAAATGGTTATGGAAAGAAGAGAATGAGACATATTTTGAACAAAGAGGAATTGCATGAGGGATCAGATATGAGAAATGATGGAGAGAGGTGTTTCTGGGTTTGAGCAGATGGATGCATTGAAGGTGTTATTTACCAAGATGACAGTATCCGGAGGAGTCCTAGCAATTGTTTGATAAAGAAGTATCATGTTAAAATTTTTGAAACTAAACTCTTTTCTTTAGTTCACATTAAGAGGCCTGATTTTAGGACAATTTCCCATCAACTGGATGAAGAGTTAGTAGTATGTGATGTTGGTAGAGATGATAAAGGATTTTTAAGTACTATAGGCAGTCTTAACAGGGTTTAGATATGGTGGGAACTCAGGCATTTCTTGCTTTGAAAGCTCATCAACACATTTGGAATTCCTAGTTGATCAATTGGTTGAATACACTTGAAATTAAATGGTAAAAGGAAGACACAGAAAATGAACTTTTTCTTTTTTTGAGGTAGAGTCTTGCTCTGTGACCCAGGCTGGAGTGCAGTGGTGTGATCTCGGCTCACTGCATCCTTTACCTCCTGGGTTCTAGCAATTCTCCTGCCTCAGCCTCTGGAGTAGCGGGATTACAGGCATGTGCCAGCATGCCCAGCTAATTTTTGTATTTTTAGTAGAGACAGGGTTTCATCTTGTTGGCCAGGCTGGTCTAGAACTCTTGACCTCAGATGATCCGCCCGCCTAAACCTCCCAAAGTCCTGGGATTACAGACGTGAGCCACCTCTCTGACCCAGCAAACATTTTTGTTGAGAACTCAATCCTAAATCCTTTTGTGAATGAAAAGAGATAAAACTAATTCAAATAAACCTTTTTTTTTTTTTGAGACGGAGTTTTGCTCTTGTTACCCAGGCTGGAGTGCAATGGCGCGATCTCGGCTCACCGCAACCTCCGCCTCCTGGGTTCAGGCAATTCTCCTGCCTCAGCCTCCTGAGTAGCTGGGATTACAGGCACACGCCACCATGCCCAGCTAATTTTTTGTAGTTTTATAGAGACGGGGTTTCACCATGTTGGCCAGGATGGTCTCGATCTCTTGACCTCATGATCTGCCTGCCTTGGTCTCCCAAAGTGCTGGGATTACAGGCTTGAGCCACCGTGCCCGGCCCCAAACCTTTTCAAATAAATAGGCAGAAAATCTGTATCTTGAAATGATTCGATTATTTTTAAAGTTTCAAAAGAAGTTACTGTTTATTTGTTTTCTTTTTACTGCCCTCAGGCTGTGAGTAAGGAACTTACTGTTTCTTTCTGACTTTGATACATTGCTTCACTTGAGTAGCCTTAAAACAAATCCATGTTTTTTGCTAAAAATGCTGAAAATGTTAATCACCCATAATTATCTCATTACCCAGGGATATATATCTTAGAGTAAATTCTTTCACACTTTCTTTTTCTGTAGACAAGCACAGGTATGCACACTTAAGGTAGTTTTACAGTCTGCTTTATTCATTAATATGTCACAAATTTGTGTATCCATGTCTATCCATGGGATGAGAAGTCTGAAATTTTGAGTCAGATTCTAAATCTTTCTTGTCTTCATTTATTTTTTTTTCTTGTCTTCATCTATTAAATGGTTAGTGCCCCACAACAATGGCATTAGTCCATTGATGAGGGCAGAGCTCTCCTGAACTAAATGCCTCTTAAAGGTCCCACCTCATAACAGGATTACAGTGGCAACTAAATTTGCCATTCTTCTCAACTCAAACTTGAGTTTTGGAGGAGATAAACATTGGAATTTTTACGAAAGTGGGCCAGATCCAGACCCCAAGAGAGAGTTCTTGGATCTTGAACAAGAATTCAAGAGAGTTTATAAAGTGAAAGCAAGTTTATTAAGAAAGTAAAGGAGTAAAGAATGGCCACTCCATAGGCAGAACAGCTGCTTGGACTGCTCCACAAAGGATACTTACAGTTATTTCTTGATTGTATGCTATTCATGAGTTTTCAGCAACAGCAAGGAGGCCAGTTGGATTGGAGCAGAGAGAAGGAAGGGGAGCATAGTAGATAAATTCAGAGAGGTAATGAGGAGACAAACCATGGAAAGCTTTATAGGTCACGTTGTTAGGACTTTCTTTGGCGTTTACTCTTAACTGGAGAACCGAAACCATCGGAGGGGCTTAAGCAGAGGAGTGATGTGAACTGACTTTGCTTTTAATACGATCACTTTTATTCTCTTTTGGGAATACACTGCAGCTGGATAAGAGCAGAGCAGGGAAAGTATTTAGGAAACTATTGCAAAAAATCACATATTGATGATGGTGAATTAGCATATCATGGTGGCATTGGGGAAGTTGAGAAGTATAACATTCTGGATATATACTTACTTTTTTTTTTTTTTTGAGAGGGAGTTTTCGCTCCTGGAGTACAAGAGCACAATCTTGTCTCAACACAACCTCTGCCTCCCAGGTTCAAGTGATTGTTCTGCCTCAGCCTCCCAAGTAGCTGGCATTACAGGTGCCCGCCACCAAGCCTGGCCAATTGTATTTTTAGTGGAGACGGGGTTATACTGTGTTGGGCAGGCTGGTCTTGAACTCCTGACCTCAAGTGATCCGCCCACCTCGGCTTCCCAAAGTGCTGGGATTACAGGTGTGAGCCACTGCACCTGACCAGTGGTATTTTTTATTTTGCTGCTCCTCGAATGCTGGATGTTTTCATCTTTTTATTATTTTTAAAATGTTTGGATGAGTTGTTCTCTGTGTATGTGCAAGCACTTGTCAGATTATTTCCTTAGAATAAATTCCTAGAAGATGGATTGCTGGAAACAAGAAATGTATGCATTTTTGATACCTTTGATTTATATGTCCAGAATAATATCCTAAAAGAAAATACCAATTTCTTCTCACCAGCAGTAAATCTGAGTACTTACAGTTTTTAGTATACAGGGTTGATATATAGTGTGTGTTTAACACTTAACAAATCCTGACAAGAAAAAGAAGATTGTTCTGTTTATTTAAAAAAAAAAAAAACAAAAACTACTTAATTTTTAACTTGTATCTTTTTCTAGGTTACAATTCCTTTGAGTCATCTCATCAATGCCTTCCATTCACCAAAAAACACTTCTGTTTCTGTCAGTGGAGTGTCAGTTTCTCAAAACCAGTATAGAGATGTGGTTCCTGAGCATGAGGCTCCTAGCAGTGAGGTAAGTAGTTATCCTGGCTGTGTGAGAAAGCCTTTTTGATATACCATTGACCCTTGAACAAATGAGGGATTAAGGATATTGACCCTCCCTGAGAAACCTAACTACTAATACCCTACTATTGACTGGGAAGCCTTGCTGATAAAAAGTCCATTATCATACATTTTGTATATTTTATGTATTATGTACTATATTCTTTTTTTTCAGTATCATGAAGACAATATGTACTGTATTCTTACGATAAAGTAAGATAGAGAAAATAAAATGTTTTTTTGTTTTTGAGATGGAGTTTCGCTGTGTTGCTCAGGCTGGTGTGCAGTGGCGCCATCTTAGCTCACTGCAACCTCCACCTCCCAGGTTCAAGCCATTCTCCTGCCTCAGCCTCCCAAGTAGCTAGGATTACAGGCACCATGCCCAGCCAATTTTTGCATTTTTAGTAGAGACAGGGTTTCACCATATTGGCTAGGGTGGTCTTGATCTCTTGACCTCGCAATCTGCCTGCCGGGGCCTCCCAAAGTGCTGGGATTACAAGCGTGAGCCACTGTACCCGGCCAAAAGAAGGGTTATTAAGAAAATCATAAGGAAGAGAAAATATATTTACCATTTATTAAGTAGAAGTGGACCATCATAAAAATCTTCATTATCTTCAAGTTGAGTGGGCCAAGAAGGAAAAGGAGGGGCTCGTCTTGGTCTTGCTGTCTCTGGTGGCAGAGACGAAAGAAAGTCCCATGTATCGATCTGTGCAGTTCTAGTCTGTGTTGTTCAAGGGTCAGTTGTACTATTAGTCGTGTTAGATGATGTATCTTTCTTTAGGCACTTGTAGCAGTGATTTCTGCCTTCAGCTTAATTTTCTTTGTAATTGAAGATATTTCTGGCTTTTGTTATACATATTGAAAAAATATTTAGACTTTTAAAAAAAAATTTCATTTGGCATCATACTTGGTATCAGCACCTCCTAGATTGTGCGAAACCAGTCAGATACTCTCTTGTGTTCTTTAGCAGTAGCAGTGAACCCACCGGTAACTCACCGTAATTACCTCCCAAGTTTCAAGGAAGATAAAATAGTAAGAAGTTATCATCTACTGCCTTATAAGAGCTTTCAGTATAATTGAACAATCAAAATATAGGTACTGGAAAGTGAAATATGTAAGCTGGGACACTGTACTTTCAGTATTCATATAATTATAAAATCAGTGTTTCCTAGGATATTGAAAATTATGAACCTAAGAACTGTATTTACAAGGCTCATTAGTAAGATAGTTGCTTACAAGCTCAGGATACATTTTTCATGGAAAAGATGCTATAATCTGTCATTAAGTTTCCAAAGCCTCTTCAACTCATAAATAGGTTATGTTCTTAGTTCTGACATCAGGAGTTAATGGCAAAGGATGGTAGAGGAGGAGTTGAAAAGAGCTTGCTTTTGAGGGGGTTGTGGAGTCAGTCTTGGGATAAAAGTTTAATTAGATGAGAAATTTGTCATCTTATGCTTCCTTTTGTACTATTTGCCTAGCTCTTATTGCCTTTTTCTGTACACTGTCCATTGTCTTTCTACTCTACTACTGTTACTGTTCTTCAAAATTATAGGCCAAGAGAACCTTACAACTGAAAATATTATCAGTATCAAAATTGGTACATGCAGCAAAATTACATTGTTTTACAAATTTTGAAAAGTATTAGTGTAGGTAGAAGAAACAGAATTCATCTGTGATATTCTTTTCCAGAGATAAGACTGTTAACATTTTATATTTATATTTCTTATATCTTTTTCTCCCAAACTTTTTACATTTTATAATAGTTGGATACCACTGCACATGTGGATTTAGATTCTGCTTTGCTCATTTAGTAGTCTTATGAATTTGTTATGCCATACATTTTCTGTGTGTGTATTCACACTGCATTCTATTAAAATTTGGCTACTACTTTTACCATTTTTCAGACTTGTTTAGCTGAAGTTAGTGCTGATTTCCTTAGTGTTAAACATAGGCCTTTTACAAAAAAAAAAAAACAAACCCTCTATCTCTCAAATCTTGTATCTATCAACTTATCATTTGCATTTGACCTTTCGTACTTTGCAAATAATCCCTTAAATTGACTGATACTACTTTGATGATGGATTTGTTTGTTTGTTTTTTTGAGGTTAGAGTCTCACTCTGTTGCCCAGGCTAGAATGCAGTGGCATGATCTCAGCCCACTGCAACCTCTGCCTCCTGGGTTCAAACAATTCTCGTGCCTCAGCCTCCCGAGTAGCTGGAATTACAGGCATGCCCCACCACACCTGGCTAATTTTTTGTGTTTTTAATAGAGATCGAGGTTTCACCATGTTGGCCAGGGCTGGTCTCGGACTCCTGACCTCAAATGATCTGCCAGTCTTGGCTTCCCAAAGAGCTGGGATTATAGGCATGAGCCACCATGCCCCTCCTAATTTTCATTTTTTACATTCTCTCAGGTTATATTCCCACTTGCATATTTTCTTTTTCTTTTTTTTTTTTTTGAGATGGAGTTTCACTCTTGTTGCCCCTGGCTGGAGTGCAATGGTACGATCTCGGCTCACTGCAGCCTCCGCCTCCCAGGTTCAAGTGATTATCCTGCCTCAGTCTCCCAGGTAGCTGGGATTATAGGTGCCCTCCACCATACCTGGCTAATTTTTTGTATTTTCAGTAGAGATGGGGTTTCACCATGTTGGCCAGGCTGTTCTCAAACTTCTGACCTCAGGTGATCCACCTGCCTCAGCTTCCCAAAGTGCTGGGATTACAGGTGTGAGCCACTGTGCCTGGCCACCACTTGCATATTTTCAGTTAACATCTCTCTGTATATAACTCCCAAATACATCTTCAACTGTAAAGTTACTGGAAAGTTTTGAGTAATTTATCTAGACATTTTCCTCGGATAGACTCTCGGGATTTCCAATTTAATATGCCCAAAACTGAGTTATTGGTCTTACAGCGGCTTTAGTCCTTCTTTATCACTCTGAGTTCAACCAGAAAAGAGAAACCACATAGTCATTTGAAGAGTAAAAGTTTAGTATAAAAATTTAATGTCTGCTGGGCACAGTGGCTCATGCCTATAATCCCAGCACTTTGGAAGGCAAAGACAGGTGGATCACCTGAGGTCGGGAGTTTGAGACTAGCCTAACCAATGTGGTGAAACTCCATCTTACTAAAAATACAAAAATTAGCCAGGTGTGGTGGCAGGTGCCTGTAGTCCCAGCTTCTCAGGAGGCTGAGACAGGAGAATTGTTTGAGCCCAGGAGGCAGCGGTTGCCGTGAGCCAAGATCGTGCCACTGCACTCCAGCCTGGGTGACAGAGTGAGACTCTGCCATATCTATCTATCTATCTATCTATCTATCTATCTATCTATCTATCTACATTTTTAAAATGTCATTTTTTGGTTTAATCTAAAAAAATTTTTTTACAAGGGTTTGGAATAGCTGGGGATTTAAGAAGTAAAGAAAACTAAAAAAAATTTAAAAGGACCATCAGATTTAGGGAGCAGCTAATACTTCTAGGGCTGAGATAGAGTCAGGAAGCGTTCTCCACCCCCAGGCTGAGATCCTGACCTTGTTGTTGAAGGCATGGTCTTGGCTTACTGAACAGTAGAGAAGTTGCTGTGATGTCATGTCAGTGGAACTTGCTGGAAATCTGGGAAGTCTGCCCTGTAGGATACCGGGGAAGGCTGTTCCTGGGGATGTGTCCTATTAGAGAAGCTGTTATACGAGTGGTGCCGGAGAAACTGCTAGGTCCTGCTGGCCATTGTGCACTCCAGGAGCCAGGGTTTGGTGAAACTGTACAATTGACAAGAACCAGATGCTCTAGAAACCATGGGTGTTATAGACACCCATGATAATCTTGGAATTATCATTTGAGGTCAGGAGTTCAAGACCAGCCTGGCCAACATGGTGAAATCTCCATCTCTACTAAAAATACAAAAAATTAGCCAGGTGTGGTGGGGCTTGCCTTTAATTCCAGCTACTCAGAAGGCTGAGGCATGAGAATTGTTTGAACCCAGGAGGCAGAGGTTGCAGTGAGCTGAGATCACGCCAATGCACACAATACTGAATGAGCATACCAGAACCAGGAATCAAAACCCCTCCTCCTACAACTAACTGTGTCTTCAGTGACTCACTGACAAAGCTTAACGCTGTTTCAGTTGGCAAAGGAAAAATATTCAAAGAGTACAGATCCATTGTCACGGAGCCAGAAAAAAGGATGAAGAAGAGCTAGGACACAACCAACTGAAAACTGGCACATTTGTCCAGAACCCTTCTCTCTCTAAATCCCTATACCCTGCGAGTTTCTTCAGATGCCTATTGTCTATGATTTGCTTTGTCTATCCTTCTTAGTCACGCTTAGTTCAGGTTCTTGCCATCTTTCACTTATCCATCAGCCTTCTCTCTCATCCAGTCTAGCTTCTTTGTTTATCATTTTTAAAGTTTTTGTAGAGACAGGGTCTTGCTTTCTTGACCAGGCTGATCTTGATCTCCTGGCCCGAAGCAGTCGTTTTACCTCAGCCTCCCGTAGTGTTGGGATTATAGGCGTGAGCTAGCATGTTAGTCCAGTCTATCTTCCTTAGTCCTCTATTTTCTTCCATAAGACAAAACTAATCATATTTAGAGAATTAAATTCAAACACAGCTCTTCACAGTTTGCCCATACCTATCTCTTTAGTTTTTTCTTTCCCTGAACTTTTTGAGGTATTCCAGACCCTTGGATGGCTTTTTGTTTGACCCCTTCCCTAAGTCTTCTTCATCCATCATTTTTAATAGCTTAAAAAGTAGTTCTGAGTATTTTATTTTGTCATGGCTTTAACTGTCTCTTACTGTGTGCCCATGATGATATATGCTAGGATATGTAGATGAGTAAGGCATGATCTCTGCCTTTAATCCTTACTATGTGAAATAAGGTATATTTTTTTATAGTCACTTTAGTATTGAGAAAATGAATTCTAGGAATACGAGCTATAGCTAGTAAAAAATGTGTACCATATTTCCAGACATCACTCCAGATTTACATAATCCATGTCCATGCCTCTATTTAAAACATTTTTATTTTTAGAGCCAGGGTCCCTCCTCTGTAGCCCAGGCTGAAGTGCAGTGGCACTATCATAGCTCACTGCAACCTCCAACTCCTGGGCTCAAACATTTTTCCCGAATAGCTCATACTGTGAGCGCATACCACCATGCCCAATGAATTTTCACATTTTTCGTGGAGATGGTGTTTTACCATATTCCCTAGGCTGGTCTCAAACTCCTGGCCTCAAACAATCCTCCCACCTTAGCTGTTTTGGGTTTGAGTGACATGTAATTGTTACTTGCCTTTAAGTACCTCACTTTCAGCTCATATGGACAAGAGAATAATCCCTATCCTGTTGTTTAAAGGTGGGTGTGTATTCATACATTTTTGTGATTTTTAGACTTTCTTTCCCTGATTTTCACACAGGTTTGACTTTAATTTTCTTCCTCGTTAGAAGATATGGGTAACTTTAGAACCTCTGAGTTCAAGGAAGGATCTCAGCAGTGAGGCCAGAGGAATGAGATGTCCCATGGTAACCAAGCATACTATTTCCTTGTCAAGTGGGCTTTTATCTATGGCCACTTAGGGACTTGGAGGAAGCTTAAAAACTCCATGGACTGGTGAAGATTATAATTTGAATGGAATTTCCCCAATTCAAGAACCTTACTATTAACTGCCAATCAGTTCTATACTATTGGGGAAAATCTCCCTGACCTTTTATAACATACTTTGTAACCCTGCAGGCAGTTACTCTTATACTCTTGTCATCATAGATGCTTGACTGTTGGTTAATAGACTAGCTATTGATCAGAGTACCCTTGTATGGAGAGAAGGAAAAAATATCCATTTCACTTGATTCTGTGAACCATAATGCTTAGCTCAGTAGTGGTTTGGGTCTGATTAGAAATTTTTTTTTTTCTCATTCATACTGAAATGTCATCTCTTTATTTAAGGATACCATTGGGAATATAATTTTTTAACCTATGTCAAACCTCATTTGACTGACCTCAGTAAAACGAACTGTAAAAATATTTGCATCAATTTATTTTTAAATATTAAAGGAAATATATTTGTTAGACTTTTAAAATCCAATTGTTTTAACTGATAATATGTACTTCTTAGGTTAAATATCTTGATAATGTTAATGCATACTTGGTTAACCCAATCTTTTACAGCCTTCACTTAACTTAAAGGACCTTGGATTATCTGAACTAAAAATTGGACAGATTGATCAGCTAGTAGAAAATCTACTTCCTGGATTTTGTAAAGGCAAAAACATTTCTTCCCATTGGCATACATCCCATGTCTCTGCACAATCCTTCTTTGAAAATAAATATGGTATGTTAATGTATTTTTTTGTTCTAATTAAATATTTTAGCACTGTTAATAATTGTAGATACCATTTATTAACATTTACTATGGGCTGGGTTCCTTCATGAAGTTTTGGAGTGTCTTTTTTTTTTTTGCAATTTTTCATATTGGTATAGTATTAGATTTACAGGAAAGTTGCAAAGACAGTACAGAATTTTGCTTCCCCTCATTTTGACATCTTATATAACCATGGGACATTTGTCAAAACTAGGAAATTAACATTGGTACAATGTGGTTTTTTTTTTTGAGACGGAGCCTCACTCTGTTGCCCGTGCTGGAATGCTGTGGCACTACCTTGGCTCACTGCAACCTCTGCCTTCCAGGTTCAAGCAATTCTCCTGTCTCAGCCTCTTGAGTAGTCACCACGCCTGGCTAATTTTTATATTCCTGGTAGAGATAGGGCTTCACCATGTTGGTCAGGCTGGTCTCAAACTCCTGACCTCATGATCTGTCTGCCTCAGCCTCCCAAAGTGCTGGGATTACAGGCGTGAGCCACCACGCCCTGCCTGGTACAATATTTCTAACTAAACTACAGACTTTGAATTTCAACAGAATTTGTGTTTACCAAATCACTGTTTTTCTGCAAGTGTTATTTTTCTTTTCCAGGATCCACTTCAGCATACCACATTGCATTTAGAAGAATGAGGGGGTGGTGTTTGTTTTAATTTTAGGTGACACACATTTATTTAATTCCAGAAACATACTTAATCTCTGAGAATACATTGATAAAAAGAAGTCATTATCCATTTTGTGGAATGTCTACATATTTTTTTGTTTGAATCTTGTAACAGTATGGTATTATAATAAGCGGGTTCATACTAGTCTGTTGAAAAGGGATGTCAACTTTATGAGTTTTTCTTTGGATGGCACTTAAACAAGGCCATGAAAGTCCAGGAACAAAATAGCAGGTTTGAATAGTTTACAATGAAGCTTTGATTTGAAGCTGTACTTTGTATAAACTTAATTCATTAACTAATTCTTTACTCTTTCTTTCCTTTATTTCAATGTAAGGACATAAAAAACTGTTAAGTGTGAGGAAAAATGAAATGGTTTTGAGTGTGAGGGCTTAGACTAAAAATTTGCCTCGGTCTAATTTGCCTTATTCTAAAATACTTGGCCCTTAGTAAGTGTTCAGCAGAATACAATTCTTACTGTTATTATGTTGTTGTTATTCCTATGCCTACTGCTCTTCTAGCTTACGTATTTACATTTACTCTTAAGATTGTTCCTCATGCCGGGCGCGGTGGCTCAAGCCTGTAATCCCAGCACTTTGGGAGGCCGAGGCGGGTGGATCACGAGGTCAAGAGATCGAGACCATCCTGGTCAACATGGTGAAACCCCGT